GCAGGAAAAAATGCATAGAATAGGATCTGCACACAGTAAACTCTTAGAGAATGATTAGCTATTATGATTTTCTGACTTCTGAGCAGTGGTAGAATTAGCAAGATGATGTGACTATTTCTCTGTTCTAAATTCCCATCAAATTAGTCTTGAAACTTGGTAGCTTTGGGATCCGCATGGAAGGAAGGCCTATACTTCCGGGAATGTAAAGTTCCTACCTGTACTTGCAGGGAAGAAAGTCCTTGTCAAGGTCACTGCTGGTGCCTAAAGGTCAACCAATGAGGATCAGACCTGCCTCAACCTTTAACCCCCATGCCCTGAATCTATAAAAGGAGCTCTCCCAATCTCTGAAGCACGACTTCCCCACCCCCCCACCCCCCCACCCCCGCTCTGTTGCTCTATTGGGACCCAGGAACCTCGCCCGGGAGCGGAACCCCAATAAAAGCCTGTGAATTAATTGATTCGTCTGCCTGGGAAGATTTGTTACGCGCCGGACACCTTACAAAACTCTACCCAAATGTCACTTCTCAGCAATAGGTGTGACTAAAACTGGTGGCAATAACTTTACAATATTCCGATCTACAATTCTCCAAGTCAGAGAAACCAAATTAAGACGCACCTCTCCTTCACGTGCTAGCTCAGCTCCACTACATCCATGATCATCTCACCAGCTCCCATGTCAGAAATAAACTCTCCAAGCCTAGGACTAAAGGAAAGCCAGCCCTTGCAGGTAGCCTTGCCCTGACTGGTGGTCCTGGGACCTGACTCCATTCAACACCGCACAGGGAGGAAACAGATCTGAGCACTGTGCTTTCACACCCACTCTCTTGCCCTGCCCAGTTCCCTAGAAGGTAGGTGTCTGATGAGAAAAGGGCATGTGAACAGACTCAAGATGCATAACCCAGAGAGAAGTCCCTATCAGGAACCCTGGGGATGTCTGCATCCCTTCAGCTACTATGCAAGCAGCTCTATTCAAGACCTCCAAGGAGTGAAATCTTTGGTTTGCATTGTTATGCTTAAGCACAGACAGAGCATTAACCCTCAGGGAGCCCTCAGCCACTTAAAGTGGAAAAGCACACTTGGGTTCTGGCCTCTGGACTCATTTACAGATGAATGGGAACTGGGGGTAGGGGTGAAGAACTTTCCCACTCTCTACCCAGTCTTTCCTGATCTCCAGATTATCTGCAGAACTCTGCTCTCCTTGGGTCCTGGAAGCTCAAGACCATCCCAATCCATTTAGCAATCCTGTCCACGCCATGTTCCATGAAATGTGGGCTTTATGATTGTAGCTGAGAAAGAATAAAAGAAGCATAGCAAGGGACAGAGAGTTACTCAGATTTGTAAGTAAGGCAGTTTGCCAATGTAAACATAGAATTAGCTACCTAGAAATTCATTCATTTAAAATTTAAATGTAAACTTAAAAAAAAAAAAACAAAACCTGATTAAAACAACTCCTAGTGGGAAGGCTTGACTGTAGCCTATAGGAGTAATGAATGAGAGGGCATGAAAATGCAGTAGCACATGGGAGTTTTGTTTAAAAAAAAAAAAAAAAAAGCAGCAATGCCCAAAACCTTGGTGATAGCTGTGTACTCATTTCCTAGGGTTCCCCAAACAGTCCCACAGACCACGGGCTGGAGCATCAGGGGTGTAATGTGCATTATCCCAGCTCTGGAGGCTCAGAGGTGGAGAGCAAGGTGTCAGCAGGGCTGGTTCCTGGAGAGCTGTGAGGGGAACATGTTCTTTGCCCCTCTCCTAGCTCGGGCAGCCTCAGGTGCTCCCCGTCTGCAGACCGTGTCGTCCTGTGTCTTTGTCTCATCCTCCCCTGTATGTGTCTGCCTCCATATCCAAAAATCCCCCTTTTCTAAAGATGCCAGTCCAGTTGGATTAGAGCCCACTCTGGCATTATCTTAATTATATCATCTAACCAGACCCCACCACAAATAAGGTTGCATTCACAGCCACTCCAGGTTAAAACATCAACAACCTCGAGGCGGCCACAGTTCAATCCTTAAAAAACTGAAAGGTTTCATTCCTAGTCTTCATCCCAAATAATTTCCACAAATGAATAGTGCCTAGGGCACATTTAGGTCTACAGAAACTCACTGGGGGTGTATGTTTGGCTAGGGGTAAGCATACCTGGGGTTCCAATCACATACCTGTGGTGGATTCCCAGGCCCCAGCACCTGACTCTGGCTTCCTGTAAATAGAGACCCTGGGAAGCAGTAGTGATGGCTTAAATAATTGTATATCCTGCCACCCATGGGGAACCAGGATTGAGTTCTTGGCTCCTGACTTTAACTCTTGCTCAGCACCTTGTGGACATTTAGGGAGTCAACCAGCTGATGGAAGATTTCTCTTTTTCTATGTGCCTCTCAAAGTAAATAAATAAATAAAAATCTAATAAACCAAATGTTGCACATTGAACAAAATTTTGTGGATTTTTTTTTTCAGAGCAGAGTCTTCCAATATGTAGGGCAATTCAGAAACTACAACAATTTTGCCAGGTACTATCAGTATTAGCTTCCTAAGGCTGCTGTAAGAAATCAGCATATATTTGGTAGCTTAATGCAGCAGCAATGTATTATCTTACAGTTCTAGAGACCAGAGGTCTGAAGTGAGTCTCACTGGATTGAAGTCAAGGTGCTGGTGAGGCCACATGCTCCCTAATGACTTTTGCTGCTCCTCCTAAGGGTCACATATATTTCTTGGTTTGGGCCCTAACTTCCACCTTCAAAATGCACCACTCCAATCTCTGCTTCTAGCATGGCATTGTTTTCTCCTCATCTATTGTAGAGTTTCCTTCCACCTTTCTCTTCCAAAGACCCACCAGGAACATTCAGGACAATCTGCCCAACACCAGACCCTTAATTCAATCACATGTGTGAATTTCCCTCTTCCATGTAAGACTGCCTTCACAGGTTCCAACTATTAGGGCCTGATCATCTTTGGAGACCATTCCTCAGATTTCAATATCATATATCCTACATCAAATCAAAGTTCAGTTCATTTTCAGAAAGGAAAACCTTGCCCTTAACAGAGCATTAGTTTAGTGCTGGCACTGTGGTATAATGGGATAAGCCACCACTTGCGACATGGGCATCCCATATCAGAGTGCCAGTTCATGACGAAGCTGCTCCACTTCCAATCCAGCTTCCTACTAATGCCCCTGGGAAGGCAGTGGAAGATGGCCCAAATGTTTGGGTACCTGCTGTGATGTCAGACACAGATGAAGCTCTGTTTCTGGGTTCCTGGCTCTGGCCTCATACAGCCCCTGCCATTGTAGCCATTTAGGGACTGAATCAGTGGATGGAAGATCTCTTTCTCTGTCTCTCCCGATCTCCATTGCAATCTTTCAAATAAAGAAAATAAATCTTACAAAGTAAAATAAAACCAGAGCATTAGCTTGCTAGATATTTCCCCAAATTTCTTCTCAGTTTTCTTCTCATAGATTCTTCCATTTAACACCTTATCAAGGAGGAGTCTGATTTCAAGCACAGCGATGTCCAACTGAGACATGTAAACAGTAGGAAGGTGTTGCTTTGGATTCGTTCTGAGAGGAGGAGCATGGTGGGGGCAAGAGGCACGGAGTCACCACACAGACCCCCAGAGATGGGTGAAAGCAGGCCAGAGGTGAGCAGCCTGCAGACTCATTTATTTCAGTTGGTACAGCAGCTTAAATAGCTAAGGCAGCCAATCTGGTCAAGGGGCGGTTTATGCCCTAACCAATCACAACCTGTTGCCATGTGGTTTCCAAAGCCATCCAATCACAGCCTGTTACCAGGCAGGCTCCCTTGCCAGGTGGATTTCAAAGCCATTCCTGAGTAACTGATGCTCACTTGCCAGCGGCCATCTTGGCATGACCTTCTCACCTCATTCCACTATATTCCCCCCTTTTCATTTATTTTTGAGCAACGGGAGGCATGAATCTTGGCCATACCATTGTTGACCCCGTTTCGATGTGGTCTCCGTATGCGGCTGTGCCTGTCTTAGGTTGTCCCCCAGGGGATCTTACCCGTCGTTGACTAACCAGCGCTCAAAACAGGAGACCACAGGAGTGCTTGCTCAGAAGGGGTAGGAATGAGGAACAATGGTAATCAGGAATAGCATGACTGCACACAGGCTGTGGGCCGTTTGAGTGGCTGACCAGAGCTAGTGGGTATAAAACAGTAATGGATGTGGCTATGGGCAGTTCCTCAGGGTAGGATGATAGGGGAGGTGCGTCCGCTAACAAGGCGTGCTCTCAGTCTTGTTCAGCTGGTTCTGGTTGACTGTCAGTTGCAGGCTTGATGTTTCTGGCTGGGACCCAAATGGGCTGTCTCACATTCTCTGGAAAGATACAAGCATATCCTCGGCCCTTGGTTAGCAGAAGCCTTTTTACAGGTGTTGGAATCCAGGGTCTGAATTCTGTGTCTGCTCCTATATTAACGGCAAACATGCAGGTGGGATGGGGTCTAGTGCCTGCCCTGAGAGCCTGGGATGCCTGGGGACTGCCACAAACATGGGGATTCTCACTGAGTGCGGATGGGATGACCTCATGTGGGTTATTACCTCGAGGTCATCTGTGTTCATCCTACGGGTATTTGGGGGGTGGCTAACCAGGCATTGCTGCATTGTCTGCAATTTCACTGTCATTTCACTGTCGGAGCTCTCTCTCCCCAAGTCATCAACTGTTGCCTGTGAGGCAGAGGCTGGAGTGACAGGTTCTGATCACTCACAGATTTCTGATCACTCAAGCATTTAGGCTGTCTTCCACTGCTTTCCCAGGCTATCAGCAGAGAGCTGTATCAGAAGAAGAACAGCTGGGACATGAATGGGCACCCATATGGAATGCTGGCACAGCAGGTAGAGGCTTAGCCCAATACGCCACAGTGCTGGGCCCTCCATGAAGTTTTTGAAGCACCCTCAAATGCTTGCTACTTAGGAGAAAATGTGTTTTTATCTTAAAACTCAAGTGCTCTTTTTCTCCTTATCAACTGAGAGATGATGGTGTATGACACATTGTCTTTTTTTTTTAAGATTTATTTATTTACTTGAAGGGCAGAGTTAGAGAGAGAGACAGAGAGAGAGGGGGGTCTTCCATCCACTTGTTCATTCCCCAAATGGCCGCAAAGGCTGGAGCTGGGGCAGTCGGAAGCCAGGACCCAGGAGCTTCATCCAGGTCTCCCACGTGGGTGGCAGGGGTCCAAGCACTTGGGGCATCTTTTGCTGCTTTCCCAGGCATGTTAACAGGGAAATCAATTGGAAGTGGAGCAGCCAGGTCTCAAACCGGTGCCCACGTGGGATGCTAGCACTGCAGGAGGTGCTGCTACACCACAGCACAGACCATACTACACTTTGAAATAAGAGAAACAAGAACTCCAGTATGCCTTGGATTTTACTTTTAAATAACTAGTTTTTAAATATGTATTACAACAGATCTACAGAAAGCAAAAGAACTGATTTCTCAGCCACAGTTCACTGGATGAGCTTTCCCTTTTCCTGCCTCAACAGCAGGGAGTGAAGAAGAGCCTGCCTGTTTCATACGGTGACGTGGCTCAATAGGCTAATCCTCCACCTTGCGGCGCCGTCACACCGGGTTCTAGTCCCGGTCGGGGCACTGGATTCTGTCCCGGTTGCCCCTCTTCCAGGCCAGCTCTCTGCTGTGGCCCGAGAGTGCAGTGGAGGATGGCCCAAGTGTTTGGGCCCTACATCCCATGGGAGACCAGGAGAAGCACCTGGCTCCTGGCTTTCAGATCAGTGTGGTGCGCTGGACTCAGCGCGCCAGTCGCGGCGGCCATTGGAGGGTGAACCAACAGCAAAAGGAAGACCTTGTCTCTCTCTCTCTCTCTCTCTCTCTCTCTCTCTCTCTCTCTTACTGTCTAACTCTGCCTGTCAAAAAAGAGAGAGAGAGAGAGAGAACCTGCCTGTTTCTCTGGAGAAAGTGAAGGCTCTGAAGCTATCTTCCCATACCCCTTCCAACTCAGAAAACCAAGGATGGCTTCGTCTGCTTGTGCTGGTCTAACAAAATGCCCGAGGGTGGGTGATTCACAAAAAATAGAAATTCACTCCTCCCAGTGCTGGAGCGTGGGGAGCACCGGTGAGGGCAGTGCAGGTTTGGCGTGTCCAGTGAGGGCTGCCGCGGGCTTGCAGGACGATGCCTCCTGCTGTGCCCTCAGCGGAGGGAAAGGCAGCACCCACTCCCTCCACCCCTGCAGTCCATCATCTGTGAGGGCCTCACTGTCAGGACTTAACCACACCCTAAGGGCCCACCTCTTCACACTACAACATCGGCAATTAACTTCCAACATGGGAACCATGAGGGGAACTTGTGTGTAGGGGGGGTGCACATTCAGGACAGAGCAGGGGCCTTTGGTTTTCTGCCAGGAACAAGGGACCAATAAGACAGAAAGGAGATGAATTATCATGAAAAATAGTCATTTTCCTTTAGATGCTTCAAAAAGAACTAACTTGGTATCACTCATTGTTCTACACACTTGAGGATCAGAGGTAATCAGGAAAAATGTCCTGGAATTGAAAGAAGAAATCTGCAAAGTTGCATTGAATAAAAAATAAGGGAACAATAGTGACACATTTCACAACAGAAATATTTACTGTTCTATAGAATGTAATCATTCCCTGATCGACTCATGCCCTTCTTGTGCTTCCAATTTAATCACAATATGCTTTTGAACTCCTTCCCCATGTGTTCTGGATTCTTATCCCACCTGTCTTTCAAGTTTTATCTTTAAAATTCATATTCACTCATTCTTATGCTTCCCCCCGAATTTGGGATAATTACTCAAGCTTGTGGAATCAGCCAGCTGACTACCAAACATTGTGATAACAAACAATCCTGACATTTCAGTGCTTCTAATAAGAAAGGATTCTATTTCCCTTGTGCTATGTGGGCATCAGCTGCCCCAGGTTACTTGTAGATAGGCCCTGGGCTGAATGAGCAGCCCCATATGGTTTTCCATGACTGTCTTCAGAGAGAAGCAAAGAGAAGAGAGTGGGGCCCAACAGGTGGTCAAAGTCCCGGTTCAGCATCATACTCATTAAGTCCACTCACTCACTTTTTGCTGACCAAAGTACATCAAGTGCCTGTCTGTGTCAGAGAGGCATTCGTCAGACAGGCAAAGTATTATCAAGTTACATAAGTAATCTGCAGAGGGCCCAGGGGAGAGGAATGAGGATATTTGGCATAGGAGTAACAAAACATTAGGCTAGATATGTAGTTCTATCCTTTGTGTTTTGTTTCTTGTTTGTTTGGTTTGGTTATGTAATACCCACTACTTCTGCTGAAATTTTAATTTAGTTTAGTGATCATTGTTTTATCCGTGGGATTTTTGTTGTTCTCAAATATTTTTAATCTTTAAAATTTACTAATGTATTTTTTTCAATTTCTGTTTTCTTGAGTTCACTTTTCTCATTGTTTATACTGTTCGCTGGACAAATGAATTGTCAAAGATCTTGTGGTACTTGTGAGAACATTTCTGTCATGGCTTAATGCATTTACTCTGTAGTCCATGCTCAGTTGTGTAAGGTAGGGTAGAATCCTTCCTCTAAACTCCTAGAGGGCTTTCCTTCCTACTCACTAACCCTTCCCTACTGTCACATGCTCCCTTGATTACTGAATTTCTTACATATTTTGTGCTATATTGACTATGCGCATTTATCCCTGCTACAGGAGTAAGGTCTTTTCAGTAGGACATTGGAAGAAGGATAAAAACATGAGCTTTGTTTGGTCTCATGATCATATTAGAGAGTTATTGAGATGGGTATTTAATCCAAGAAGCTAAGACATAATTCTTAAACCAAATCAAACTGAGAAAAACACTATAACTGATATATAGAGTACTTTTTCTTTTACAAAGCCAATAAAATGTGTAAAAACAAGCAAGTTTGATACAGGAAAAATGAAAATACACACTTCTGGAACAATTAAGTAAACATATTTTCAGATACAGGGGAAATTTTTAATTTAATATTTAAAATATTTAATAACATTTCAAAAGACTGAAAGCATTTCAACTTGTTTTACTAGATGAGCCCAACCCTGATAATAAAATGTGACAAAGAGAGCACTAAGAAATAATCTATGTATCAATCTTTCCACTAAAAATAAAGGATACATGAAATGATTAAAATCAGAGGCTTAGAAATTAATTGGAATTACATTAAAATTCTTGCTCTATTGCAAAGAAATATTTTATGACTCGGACACTTAACTGTTCTAAATCATTTTCCTGAAGTAAAATAATGACACATACCTTAAGAATAATGTTAAAGGTAAAAATTATGTAAGTACATTTTAAGATATTTTAAATGCATTCAGCTTATGTCTGATCATGCTTATTCATGCATGAGGAGGAGGAGAAAGAAGAGGAGGAGTAAAATGCTGAAATGGCTGTAAATTGTAACATCATAAACCAAGTCTGATAAAATTGAATCCTGTGGCATAATATAAAACAGAGTCAAAAAATAATAAAGACTTTATCTGGAAATTCAACAATAATTTAATAGAAATATACGTTATTTAACTCATCACATAAGAGGAAGAAAAAATGCATGAATCTCTTAGTAGATTCTGGGAAAGTACTAGGTAAATGTCAATGAAAAAATCAGAATCCATAGAAAATGTTGTTCATATTTTGAAGCATGCTAATAAATCAAGAAGGAAGAAGGAACCCTAGCATCACCAGAATTTTTTTTGTCCTAGAACCTCTACCTAATGCCTCAAAGGGGAAAAATGTATAATTAGAAGCTAAAATGACCCAAATCATCATGGTTTGCAAGTATGATTGCTTACTAGGAATTAACCCAGATGTCTATCAACTGATGACTGGATAAAGAAACTGTTGTACATATACACTAGGAAATACTACTCAGCCATAAAAAGGATGATATCCTGCCTTTTGTAACAAAGTGGATGCAACTGGAAACCATTATACTTAGTGAAATAAGCCAGTCCCAAAAGGACAAATATCATATATTTTACCAGATCTGTGTACATTTGTGTACCAAAAATGTAATGTGTAGGAGTGAAACTGACATGTTAAGATTTGATAATTGTCTACATCCCTTGTCTCTACTGTTGAGGAATAGCGTTTGTGTAATTCGTATTTTTGCTGAACTATTCACTTATCGAAAATATATCATTATAAAAATTAAGAGAGGAAATAAAAAAAGAAGGAGGAAGAAGGGTGGGAGCATGCTTGGAAAGTACCACTGTGTTCCTAAATCTGTATCCATGAAATACATGAAATGTGTTTACCTTAACATTTTTTTAATTTAAAAAAGAAATAAAAATTGAAAATAGCATGTTAAAATGTATGACGACAATTAAGAATCATTTTAGGTTACAAAAGTAATCTTTACAAAAGAAAACGCTTTTATATCAATACTCACAAACTGGTGCTATTAAGAATCAAGTTATTTTGATATTATGCAATAAATAGCATGGCCTAATATAAATTTAACAAGACTTACCTGAAAGAAATGACACATGTCTAACGAATGTAATTTTAGGACCTCACATGTTCCTGGAAGGAAAGACACAATTGCAAAAATGTCATTTTCTCCTACATTAATCTATAAATTCATCATAATTTTTTTTTTTTTTTCTTTTTTTTTTTGACAGGCAGAGTGGACAGTGAGAGAGAGAGACAGAGAGAAAGGTCTTCCTTTTGCCGTTGGTTCACCCTCCAATGGCCGCCGCGGCTGGCGCGCTGCAGCCAGCACACCGCGCTGATCCGATGGCAGGAGCCAGGAGCCAGGTGCTTTTCCTGGTCTCCCATGGGGTGCAGGGCCCAAGCACCTGGGCCATCCTGAGCTCAGATTTCTAAAGCAGACAAAATGAAACGTAGTCTACGATACAGGCAAATCTCATATGTATAAACAATGTATTATTTATTATAATTGGTGACAGGAAAACTGGCTAAATTTGGACAAAATGAAACTAGATTCTGATTAACCATTCAACACAATGGGGGTGGGGGCAGGGCCACAGAGAGGCTCTGCTGGTGCCTTTCACCTGGACGCTGTATTTTGTGTTCCTGAATGATATCTTCACTGTAGTGAAGGGACCAAAGGAGCTAGGGAATTACGGAGTGCTTCTGCACGATGCTGCCCTGCTGATCACCCTCATTTTCAGCATGTCTCCACTGCAGACCTAGATTCATCCAATGGAAGAATGTTCCATTTATCACACAGTTTCTTCCTTCCCTGTTTTGGGGGGTTTGTACTGATGCACCCCACAGTTGTGTGCAGCTATTACAGTTTGGCCCTGATGACAAGTGCCAGTCAGTGCTGTCAGTCATATACCTATTGCCTGCACTGGGATGTGAGCTGGTGGAGATGATACCTTCTCCGTGGTAAACTATCTCAGGGCAGGGCACCTGAGATACTCCTTTTTAACACTAAAGAGTCAGTCAGAACCTCAATAACTGTTGAATGAAGAAACTGTCCCTCCAGATTTGAAGAGCTAGGGGTAGAGTTGGCATTCCCAGGAGGATCGAGAAGCCCGAGCACAAGTGGGAGCTTCTGCGAAGCACAGAGGACTCCCCATCTGCCATCCTCATGGCCTGTGCTGAGAAGGAGGCTGGCACTGTGATCTGCCTGTTTGAGTAGCAGCACCACGGCCTTAATTTCAAAGGTGCTGTCCCCAGCAAAGTGCCAACGAGAACTTTTTTTTTCAACATAAACAGACACATCTTTATTTCAATAAAATTAGTCAATTAAATGCCCCCCAAAATTAGGTTCTGATCTCTAGCTTCCATCTAAATGATTCCAGAGAAATTCAAGATTCAAATAATGGAAATACAATTTTAAAAACTGTAATCTAGAGATAAGAACATTCTGAGCTTGGCATCTAAAGGACAGGTAAGAGTCACATGAAAAACTCGTGAAATTAAAATACATATGAAAAATAATCTAATACATAGCAATATACTAATATGTGCTATTATTCATAATACATACTTATTAATGCAATATTAATAGTATACACAGCAAACCAAACAGAATCTGAGTTAAAAAAGAAGAAAAAAATATAGGAAATCCCCAAGGAGACCAATGTTAATGGCTTGTAAACAAAAGATACCAAATTTATCAACAGGTTAAGGAATATAATATAGAAAAAATAGCAATATAGACATTTAAATGTTAAACATTGTATCTTTTGATCCAAAAAAAAAAAAGCAAAGCTAAAAATAACAATAATCAATGTCATCAATGTCATTCAGAATCGGTTACTCCTAGCAGGAGGCAAAGTTAGCATAACCTTTTTAGGAGTGATCTGATAATGAGTAGATTTAAAACAGAAAGTCCTAAGACTGCCTATCCTTTATTTTTATTCTGTTTGTTTGTTTTGACAGGCAGAGTTAGAGAGAGAGAGACAGAGAGAAAGGTCTTCCTTCCGTTGGTTCACCCCACAAATGGCTGCTATGGCCGGCGCACTGCACCAATCCGAAGCCAGGAGCCAGGTGCTTCCTCCTGGTCTCCCATGTGGGTGCAAGGCCTAAGCACTTGGGCCATCCTCCACTGCCCTCCTGGGCCACAGCAGAGAGCTGGACTGGAAGAGGAGCAACCGGGACAGAATCCAGCACCCCGACTGGACTAGAACCCGGGGTACCGGCGCCACAGGCAGAGGATTAGCCTAGTGAGCCACGGCACCAGCCTATTTTTATTCTTTAAAGATTATTTAAAAAAAAATTATTTGAAAGGCAGGGAGAGAGAGAGAGAGGGAGATCTTGTATCCACTGGTTCACTCCTCAAATGGCCACAGAAGCGAAGTGTGGGCCAGGGTATAGCTGAGAGCCAGGAACTCTATGCAGATCTCTCACATGGCTGGTGGGGGGCCCAAACACCTAGGCCATCTTCGCCTTCTGCTGCTGCCTCCCTTGGCACATTAGCAGGAAGCTGGATGAGTAGCCAGGACTCAATCCAGCATTCCAGTGTGTGATGCCAGTAGTGGCTTACCGCACTGCGTCACAACACCAGCCCCTTGACTATCCTTTAACTCTGCAAGTTCATTTCTAAAATTTATACTGACAGTATAATTGAACAAATTTATGAAGATATATGTTCAAGACTCACTGTAAAATTTAGCAAACAACAAAATAATATATCTAAACTAATTAATAAATACCTGACAACATCAAACACTATGATACCATGGAATGCTAGCTTGCATTAAAAATAATGATGCAGAGCTCATTTTGTAGAAAAATGCACTGGATTTTTTAAAAAATTGGGTGCTCTTTCAATAAGCATGTAAATATTAATTTTAGAATCATAATAGTGGAATTTAGCTATGTATTTTATCCTAATTTTGGTAAAAACACATGAAAACAGAGTGTAAATTTCTGAAATCATTCTGAGGGCAAAATAGTGTATATTTATTAAAGCCTTAAAGCTGCCCAAACTTAAAAGGGTAATTATACTTGTAAGAAATTATCTTAAAGGAGCTCTGTTTCTGTAAAGCCCCCTCCTTTACAGGGGACAGCTTGTCCTTCATGTCACCATCAGCCTCTAAGGGACAGGGGCCTAGGGATCAAACATGTTCTAGGCTGCCCTACATGGTATTGTTAATATAAAGGATGGATCATTTGGAGGCTGAGCAGCTAGGGACACAAGAGTCCCTAATACAAGGATCCGTGGGTGCTCTGGGTACCCTCATCTACTGCATGTCCTCTCCACAGAGAAATGCAAAGGGCATATGGCCCCTAGCTGACTTCACAGGGTTGTCTGGTGCTGGGGATACCCAAACACCTGGTTAACTCATGCTGTATTGTACCCAGCTTGGGGACAAGAGCAATCACCTCACAAGAATGAATATATATATATATATATGTGTGTGTGTGTGTGTGTATATATTTACCTTTTATAAGTATATATACAGGCTTATACATATGTGTGTGTATGTATGTGTACATATCTTTTACTCAAATCAGAAATACTATGATCTAATTGCCAAGTGTTTGCAGCCTTCCTTTTCTGGTTCCACAGAGAGAGTTGGAGGGTCCTCTGTGGAAAGTGAAGCTGCTAATGAAGGCAGAAGACAGGGTGGGGAGCAAGCATGGGATGCATGACTGGGACACTGACCTGTGTCATAACCAGTATTATTTCATCTTCACAAGAAATCTTCCATAGATAGTAGATGCTGTGTTTCCATTTGAGTCTTAAAGGTGTCAGGACCTCTGGCCAGTCACACACTCTGTAAGGAATCCTAGATCCAGTATTTAAACCCAGGCTGTTCAAACTCTTCATCCATTCCCCACACTGAAAACACATAAAGGTCAAAAATGGGTTACTGCTACTGTAATCCATGAAGAAAATTTTTTAAATTATTAAATCTCATTTAATAATGTTATTATTATGAAATTATTAAAATGTTAGTTTAGAAGTTATTAGTTTAATAATTATTAAAAATATTAGTTTAGTAATTATTAAAATAATAGATTAGAAGATAATTGTACAGGAAATGTCACAACTTATAAAGCAAAAATAAAATGAGGTCAGTTCAGGGGAGGGCATTGTGGCACAGCAGGTTCAGCCACCACTTGAGAGATCAGCAACTGATTATTAGAGTGCTTATTAGAGTCCTGGCTACCCACTTCTGATCCATCCCCCTGCAAACACACCTTGGAAGCAGCAGATGATTGTTCAAATTCCTGCCGCTAATACGGGAGACCAGGATAGGTTACTGGTTTCTGGCTTCAGCCTTGCCCATGCCCAGAAGTTGCAAGCACTTAAGGAGTGAACCAGTGGATTTATTTCTCTCTCATTTTCTGCCTTTCAAATAAATAAATAGTTGTTCAAGATAGTTCTGGTACACATGCAATGGAAAAATACTGGAAATGTATTATAAAAGCTAACAGTGGGCCAGTGCTGTGGCTCACTAGGCTAATCCTCCAGCTGTGGCACCAGTTCTCCATGTTCTAGTCCCCATTGGGGTGCCGGATTCTGTCCTGGTTGTTCCTCTTCCAGTCCAGCTCTCTGCTGTGGCCCAGGAAGGGAGTGGAGGATGGCCCAAGTGCTTGGGCCCTGCACCCCCATGGGAGACCAGGAGGAAGCACCTGGTTCCTGGCTTCGTATCAGGGCAGCACGCCAGCTGTGGTGGCCATTTGGGGAGTGAACCAATGGAAAGAAGACTGTTCTCTCTCTTTCTCTCTCTCTCTCTCTCTCTCACTGTCTAACTCTGCCTGTCAAAAAAAAAAAAAAAGTTAACAGTGGTGGAATTATAAGTAAATTTTTTCTCTGTATTTTTATTTTTTTAAGGCAGATGGAGGCTAAGCCCTTAATTTTGTTTAATATTTAATTTTTATTTGAAAGGCAGAGAGACAGACGGAGAGAACTTTCATCACTGGTTCAGTCCTTATAAGCATGCAACAGCAGGGGCTGGGTCAAGCTGAAGCTAGGAGCCTAGAACTCAATTCAGGACTCCCACATGGGTAGCAGGGACCCAAGCACTTCAGCCATCACCGATTCCTCCCATTAATGCCTACTGTGCACTAGTGGGAAGACAGAATCAGAAGCGGAATGGGCACTCCACCCCAGGCCTTCCTATAGGGGACGAGGGCTCCGGAACAGCGAGCATCTCAAGTGCCACATCAAACGCCCATCCTGTTTGTGTTTTTAAATTTCCACAATACCTATTAATATTTGTGCAACTGGGAAACATAATAAAAGAAACTCCCACATGTGCTTCTGTGTGAGCTACCATAAAGACGTCAGCACGAGGCCAGGGAGGGAATTAGAACTCTTCCTTTGGGGTGCGTCTTTTAACCTGTTAGATCTGGAGATAACCAAGCTGCTAGAGGAATGTTGGAATTACTGGAAGTGACATCTGCAAGGGACCTCACCGATCACTGCACTCAGCCTTGGCATTTTGCAGATGGGGACAGGGAGAGCAGAGGAATCCGAGAAGACAGTGAGCATCCTTGACCCAGGCACTCATCGCCTTCTTAACAGGATGGAGCATGCACATCCATTCCACCAAAAGTTTCCTGTCACTCGGCCCTGAATAAAAGTCAACGTCTTATAAACAGCAGCTCTTTAGCCTCTGCCCTGACCACAGAATTGAACAAGCTTAGAAAACAAGGTGGGTTTTGCAGCATTCACTTTTCCTTTGCAAACCACTGGGATGAAAAACCAAAGTCCCAGCCCTCATCCCCTCCATCGAGGCTGTCTTGTTCTTGTTTCCCTCAGCTGAGAAGGACAAGGCTTCTCAGAAGGCATTTTCTCTGTCATGTGTGTTCTGATTATGAAAACATGACATCATAAGTGTATGAAATGTGAAAAATAACAGAAAATCCCAACCATGTGTTATGCTGCTGCTCCATGACAAGGATGGCTAACACTTTACAGGCAGATCCAGACTTCTCCCTTTTATGCCAGACACACCCAGGTAAGATTCTGCAGGCACAGAATTTCGATTATTTTAAGATTTATTTATTTGAAAGGCAGAATTAGAGGTGGAGGGGGGGACAAAAAGAGATCTTCCATCTGTTGGTTCACTCCCCAAATGGCTGCAACAGCCGAGGCTGGGCCAGGCTGACACAGGACCCTGGAACTCCATCTGGGTCTCCCATGTGGGTGGCAGGAGCCCCAGTACTTGGGCCACTCAACACTGCTTTTCCAGGCACATTAGCAGGGAGCTGGATCAGAAGAAAAGCCAAATTTGAACCAGTGCTCATATAGGATGCTACAGGTAGCAGTTGAACCCAATACAGCTCAGGCTTCTAATGTTATTCAAAACATCCATGGCCAACCTTCTTGGGAATGGGAATACCCAGTGCTCTGAAGGTGCTCAGCTCTTGGCCAATGAATTGTTAGCAGATGGCCTGCAAACAACAGCTTGAGATGTGCTGGCCTGGGTGGGGTCCCCCTCTCCCATGTGTGCTATTTCCCTAAGAAAACTTTCCCTCCAGTGGCTGCTCCCTGGGCCACAGTGGAATACATCTGAGGTGCCCCAGGTCACATACACACCTGAGGTAAGAGGCAGATTCATTCACTCCAGCAGACTGGTATCTGGGAGAGTATAAATGGTGCTGCTCTAAGCCAATCTGGGTTGATAAACAGCAATCTCACCTGTGCACCCCCACCACGTCAAGAGGTTTTCCTCTCTTAGAATCCCCTTGACTTGCTTTGGGTGGTCGGTGCAAGGCTCAGCAGGTGTTGCTCTTCCTGCTACCAGGGAGGAACAGGGATAAAGATCTGCATCCAGTAGAGTCAGTCCCTCTGTCTGTGTTCCCCAGGGCCCTGTGGCAGTCCAAGGAAAGTTGAATTCTTTCTGGCATTTTTTTTTTTTTTGGACAGGCAGAGTGGACAGCAAGAGAGAGAGAGACAGAGAGAAAGTTCTTCCTTTTTACGTTGGTCACTGCGGATGGTGCGCTGTGGCTGGCGCACCGTGCTGATCCCAGAAAGCTGTACCTCCCAGCAAGCCTGCCCTTCTGTGACCCTTTCCTCTGAAAACTAATGGGTTCATCTGACTCTCTCATAAGTGACAGAATGCTAGCTTAAAATCCAGGCCTTTTGAATGCTTGGGATATGCCCTTTTTTTTTTTTAAAGATTTATTTATTTGAAAGAGTTACCCAGAGAGAGAAGGAAAGGCAGAGAGAGAGAGAGAGAGAGAGAGAGAGGTCTTCCATCTGTTGGTTCACTCCCCAATTGGCCACAACTGCCAGAGCTGTGCCAATCCGAAGCCAGGAGCCAGAAGCCAGGAGCTTCTTCTGGGTCTCTCACACGGGTGCAGGGGCCCAGGCACTTGGGCCATCTTCCACTGCTTTCTCAGGCCATAGCAGAGAGCTGGATTGGAAGTGGAGCAGCCGGGACTTGAACCAGCATCCATATGGGATGCCAGCACTGCAGGCAGTGCTGGCCCCAGGACACACCCTCTTAAAACAGAGCTTAGGGCCCAGGGTTGTGGCTCCATGGTTTCAGCCTGCAACACCAGAATCTCATGTCAAACTTCTGTTTTGAGTCCCAGTTGCTCCACTTCCAATCCAGTTCACACCTGGAAAAGCAGTGGTATATAGCTCAAGTGCTTAGGCCCATCCCACCCATATGGGAGACACAGATGGAGTTCTGGGCTCCTGGCTTTAGCATGGACTAGCCCCAGCCTGCTGTAGACATTTGGGGAATGAACCAGTGAATGAATGAATGATCTCTCTCTCTCTCTCTCTGTCACTGTGTCTTTAAAATAAATAAATCTTAACCCAAAATAATCAGCTTCCATGATTACAGATGCCACCTGAAGGCACTCAGGTGAACAGCTTAACTGAACTCCCAGAAAACCACCCACATCAACTCCCTGCCCTGTGAGAGCACCAGTCTGCACGTCCAACCCAGCTGAGTTTTCTTAGTCCATCAGTGGACGGCAACATGACGGACTCCAGGCACTGACCACTGAGTGAGCCCAGGCACCCCACATACTGTGAATGCTCATAATAAATGTGTGTTTTAAGCTGCTGCGTTTCAGAGCAGTTTGGTACATATCATTAGATAACTGGAGCAGGCCTTCCTGGAGGCTGTAACAAGTGGCCAACTTCAACATCCTAATTTTCTCCAAGACCCCTAATGCTACAGCTTGAAAGATAAGTGGTCTGAATATCAAAAACCAACAGGGGGCAATTGAGCAGTTAACGCACTGCAGCATAACCAGTAGTGTTAATCCTGCTGCCGGCAGTGGAGGCTTTCCTCTCATTACCCCTCTCCACATGTCAGCTCAGTCAATGCCACATCAGTGTCCAGCACTGTCAACCTCTGCTCCCTGGAACCAGCTTCTGCATGTGGTTTCATTCAGTTGGAAGGCAAAGAAACCTGTCTCACAAGGGTTGAAGTCATACAGAAAAATCCACTGATTCATGTAACTTACAAGAGCAGAATTAGGTATTTCTGGCTGCAGGAAGAACTTGATACTGGACATGCAAGACAGCACCTTTGGTTCCGCTCCATCTGTGCACACCTCAGTGCCACATGGTGGCCTCCCACTACCTTCAGACTTCCACTTAGGTCTTCCCCAGTTACAAGTTTCACAAAGCAGAATGTGTGTACCTTGTTTTAAATCCAAACCACAGCACTTAACCTCTGTGACCTTGGGCAAGTACTTAACTTCTCTGGTTCAAATTTTTTTCTTTAAAATGAGAACAGTAATGACCTCTACCCTACAAGGTTGTTTTCCTAAGTGAGGCAATATATATAAAGAACATGTACACATATATATTTATTTATATATAGCATAGTTCTACAAGAGTCACTGTTGTTTTTTGTAATCACAGTAATGGTAGTACCAGCAACGGATGCAATAGTGGATTTAACAATAGCAATGTTCTCTATTACTATTCAAGAACAGCAAAGAGAATCCATGCCCCAGCTTTCTCTGGGATTCCCGTGCTCCCCACACAGTCCATGAACACAGAACAGGGCCCTAAGGTAGGGAGTACTGATTGGCTCCAGGTGTTCGGAGCCCACAGCTGAAGCTGGTGTAGGGTGATTCCTGCAAGGCTGGGAAATGAGGGGCTCTCTCAGAAAGGGAATGGACTCCAGGAAGGCAACTGAGATTCCCTAAGAAGTGAAATTCTCAGTGCTCAGAAGTCCCCGGAGTCCTGTTGTGCTGAGCTGGGGACACCTCCCCAGCTGTCTCTGAACTCCACTCAGGTGAAAACAAAGCTACAAAGGTCTGACTAGGAACAAGAGATTTTCTCATGATGAGTATGTGTGTCAGCTGTCAAAGTTCCTGGTTGAGTCTGTCAGTCCTCTCAGAGTTGAGAGATCCTGGGAGGGAGTTTACCCCAACCTTGAAGCTAGCAGGATCCAATCCTTGAACTCCAGCTATATTTAAGTGGCTGAACCTAGCACAATCTAGCACATGGCATTTCAGAACCAATCAGTACTGGCTCAAGAATGTGGGTGGAAGAACTGAAAGGGAGAGGAAGAATCCCTATCAATTGTAAAATTTGATTTATTTATTTGAGAGAGAATCAGAGAGTGAGGGAGGGAGAGAAAGAAAGTTTCCATTGTCTAGTTCACTCCCCAAAGGCCCACAAAAGCCAGGGCTGAGCCAGACTGGAGCCAGAACTCAGAGGCCTGGGACTCAGCCCAGATCTCCCACAAAGGTGCAGGGAACCAACTAGTTGAGCCATCATCTGCTGTCTCTCCACCCACCTCAACCCACAAGGTTTGCAGTGAGCTGGAATTGCTTGTTAAGAGTCAGAAATCAAACCCAAGTACTTTGACATGGGATGCAGGCATCTTTACTGGTATCTTAACCAGAGTCTTAACTGCTAAAGCCAAATGCCCACCTCCCCCCCCCCCATTATTTTTGTGGCTATGAAGTTATTGTACCAAATCTACTGAGAGTCTTGTTACTATATAAGAGATCCTGCCTAAGAATGGGAAAGCAAAAAAGAAAGAAAATAGAGTGAGAAAGTAGACATGGAGAGAAACTAAGTGCTGAAGACTTCACTTAATCCTGTATATCTAGCTTTTTTTTTTTTTTTTGAGTATTCAGCTTTAGGTGTCCAAATTTGCTTTTGCTTAAGTTGTCTTGCATTCAGATTATATACTTTTTAAAGATTTATGTATTTGAAAAGTGGAGTGACAGAGAGGGAGAGACATACAGAGAAAGACATCATCCACCTGTTGGCTCATTCCTCAAATGATCCCAATAGCCAGGGCTGGGCCAGGCCAAAGTCACGAGCCAGGAACTCCCATGTGGGTGGCCTGGCCCCAAGTCCCAGAGCAGCTGGGACTCAAACTGGGGCTCCTACATGGGATGCTGGTGTTGCAGACAGTGGTTTAATCCATTGTGCCACAACATTGGCCCAGGATTATATTTTTCTTAGCAAAAAGAGTTCTAATTTATTGTGATTTGTCAACAATATTTTGAAAGATTCTCTTAAAGTTTTCAAGAATTAAGATTCCTAAGTGTGTCAGTCATTTGCCTACTGTTTCTCAGCCCTGGAACCACTCCCCACCCACCTCCCTGTGCTGTGCGATTCTAGAGCAGGCAGTTCAAAAACTACATTGCCCAGAATCCCTTGTCACTCCTTCCTGTTAGTTTTGGGCCAACACTGAGTCAAGGGAAGGACACTAGAAATAGGTAAAGGAAAGAAAGGACTCTTCCTGCTTCCAGTTCTGGCACCTGGAGCAGAGCTGTGGCTGTTACTTCAGCATCTTTTAGCACTCTCAGCTCACTATCAGAGGCGCCATCAGCAGCGGCAGTTTCCCCCTTGGTGGCTGAAGCACTGACATGGGGATGCCCCGGCAGCAGGACAACCCCCTGCACAGCTCAAGTGGTGATGCTGCGGGTAACAGCAAAGTCCTCACGACTTCTCCTTCAGATCTCTGTGCTAGACTCATGAGATAAATCAATGCTTTTTCATTAAACCACTGGGGGGAGGACAGGCATGTTCTACAGCACTATTGTGGTAATAATTCCTTGTTAACAACCTACTACACCAAAACCATTCCTGTCCACAGGGTCTCAGTGGGAACTGGACAGCTTAATGATCTCCAATGAGGTCATGAATGCTGACACATACATGGTTCACCTGAAACCAACCAGCCAGTTATGCCTGGGTGACCAGTCCCCAACCTGAAAATTCTCTGGGGTACTTCCCCAAGGAGACACATGGTTGTCTTCAAACAAAGATACACTTATCTTGATATCACTATTACTCCATTCCCCCACCCCCGAAGCTAACTAGAAATACTTTGGCTTGACCTATTTTGCCATATGTAGAACAAGAATAGTACCATATGTAGCTATTGTTACTATGT